TGAGGTTTGCTGCAGCACGAGAGGTTTTCGCGTTTGCCGAGAACCAAAACGAAATATTAGTGAATTTCGGACAAACGCTGCTGAAACTAAAAGTTCAAGCTGTATACTTTTATAGGCGATCCTTTATAACGTAACATTCAAGAGGATGCGCAACGTTTTATAACGCAGGTCAGGTGTGATACGTGTGTGATTAAATTTCATAGCGAAACTGGATAGTAGCAGCACAAATATTGCACGGTCAGCACCATAAATATTGCATTATATTTTACGCTCCAGAGATACATTATAAATATCACTGACAGTTTTCTGATTATTCGGAATACTCAAACGATTCTTTCTGTCACGTTGTCTGTTATTCAATCTTTGTTATTACTTAATATTCAAACGATATCGAATATAAATTTAATTTTTGTTTGGACTCATCCATCTACGAGAACGTGATTAAATAACACTTGGACATACTATGCATAAAACTTTCAGTAAAAATTCTTGAATTCACAGCTACAGAGATTATACATTCATAGAATCTATTATTGAAATATATTATTGGATGAATGTATTACCTTGGCGTAACGAAGTACTAATTTGTCGTCTAACTTTTTATATCAGTTTTAACGCCAGTCGAAAAATCGTGAATGAACGAGCATCTGATGTCGTTAAAATATTCATAAAACTTCAGCCTCGAATGTCCATAAAATATCGAACTATTTTACCAGACTTATTCATATCAATTTGTCTATATATTTTTTTGTTAATAAACCCACTTTACTTTCAGTAAAGTTAATTCTTGATAAAGCAAGTATTAAATGAAAACAAATTAATTTTCGTAAAGATAACTTGTTCTTGTTGATGGGAAAAAGTAATACACGATTGAATACTTTTATCCAAATTCTTGGCCATTTTTCGTGCAATTGTTCAAAACGCACGCACGTATGTAAAACAACGAAATTCTAAGTTGATCTTTTTCTAATGAAACCTATGCAGATTCCAGACTAAATTCATATATATCTTTGATTAATCTCTATATTTCATATTTTTGTTGTCCATTCTTTTATCGACATACGACTCCAAGCTGGTTTTCATTTTTTTTTTTTTTTTTT